TGCTCACTGCTGAGCAAAGCCTCTTCTCACACGGAGAAGGTTTGCAAGCATTAATCACCATGCTTACTCAATGCGGGTTGGCGATTACAAACTTATAATAAGAAATTATAAGCCCAGGAGGTCTACTCTGATTCGACGAAAAACGAGGTTTCGGACGAAACTTCGAACATTACCTACCACAATGGCATTTATTACGAACGAAAAAGGAATGAAACAAGCAAGAAGTTAGTATGAGATGCACTGTTTGACGTCGATATTTTCGGAACCCTACTCTAATTGTACAATCCGCACGAACGAAAATTCGAGTTTGACAGATTATTCTTCGGACGTTTAATGTCATTTCGACGAAACCAAAATAGTTATCGTTTGATTTTCGTTTGGGTTAAATTTATTGAAAAATGAAGGAAAATAATTATAAGTCTTCGTTTTGTCACGGTTTCTTTGTGTGGGCAACACGTAGGGCACCAAAGGAACTACTTAAATGACGATATAAAATCAATGTACAGTCAGCTCAAATAGTTTGTTAACACGAACCTATATATTTTATATGTCTATGAGAGTTAGTAACATTTAGGGTAATCAAATACTTATTTGAATACCTTATGTATTGTACATAAATGTTTCATGTGTAATGTTTTATTTTAAAACTAATAATACCGCTTGAAAAATTAACTTAAGTATTGCTAATATATATTTTCGCTATTCTTTCACATCTATTAATATACCAATATTTATAGATAAGATAAATTCTTTCAAAAATATATTGTTAATCATCATAACACGAAATAATTTAGTCTCTTCAAATTCTAATGTAGACATTTATAATTTTTAAACTGACTGTACTAATATAATACGAATAAATTTGGTTGTCATTATTTTAGACATAAATGTCAATAAAACAACATTCTGAAACTTTTTAACTTGGCCGTATAATAAATTTTTGAAAGGAGGTTCTTATCCTGTTTAAGATTTTCCATATTAAACGTTAATATTAAAAGATTATTCATGATTTTCTTGATGATTATGTGTACTAAACCATGGCACTATGATTTTAGTAATATAATTACTTAAAATAAAATTATTTATTTAATTTTGAATCTAAACCTACTTATTGCATATTTATTTATCTTCACTTCATTCGTTCATTGTAGTTCACGAAAGTTGTCTATGGTCCCGAAAACGTTGTTTGCCGCCGCAAATCAAACGAAACTTCGCATTCGAGAACCGGAGTAGACCTACAGGTTTCCTCACGATGTTTTCCTTCACCGTTTGTCAGTGGTGTCTAAATAATCTTAGAAAGTATATATAACTCGGAAAAAGTCATATTGGTACTTGCCGCTGGTAGGTTTCGAAACCTCATGCATGAGAAGCGGGCGTCTTAAACCTCCGGGCCACCACGACAATTTAACTTTATGTAAACTTCAGCTGTAGCCAAATGCCATTTAGCGCTTGTCTACATGTAGAATAGAAATCCAAATTATATGGAATTGACGTAAATTTTGACACTTGTCAGTGTCATCCCCATACATTTTGATTTCTACTCTCTCTGTAGACAAGCGCTAAAGTGGCGTTTGGCTAAAGGCCCTTGACACCCGTACCCGGAATAACAATCTGCGGATCAGTCAAAGACTTGTTCCGTGCGAGAATCGAGCCCGTGATACGTTGCTTGGCAGTGAAAGTATAATATGTATGTATGTATGTAATAATATATGTTAGTGCGCTATTATCTCGCAATTGGCTGAACTTTTTGATGACAGTTTTCAGAAAAGTGTTTCTTACACTTAGGAAAAGGTTTTGATAAATATATTAAGTAACTGACTTCAAACAATAAGGTCGGTTGAAGTCGGTTTTTTCAAACGTAGCTTATAAAATTATTCTTCTTTTTTTTTCTTTAAAAAAACGTTGCCCCGCATTAGGATTTTCTCCTGTGTCGTGGGTGCGTTTACAAACATACAAGTTCACATACACAATGACACCCAGACCCGAAACAACAATTTGTGGATCACACAAAGTGTGATCACACACGGCAGCCGGTTGCCCAGCCACCGCACCAACCGTGCAGTCGATTATTGAAGGTTGCTACTATCTTGGGATAATTTAAAGTCATTAATACTCCGACACGGTTCACTGCCGGATTATAAAACTCCTCTATCTAACTATAGGGTTTTTCATAATGTCCAGCCATTTCAGAGATTAGCCAGTACAAACGAAGAGACATTCTTAAAGAGTTATTGTGGTATGTGTATCGCAAGTATATTTAAAAGCGGTTATTTTAATATTACAAACAGACTCCAATTTTATTACTCCGTATAGCTGTACAGAGTGTCGCCTCCACCATCATCATTCGCAATAATGTCATTGAAAACGATGCGATCTTTCATATAATCGAATATACGTACGTTGGTTCGAGATCCCGTACCCTGCAGTGTACCAGCGACTATTACTAATGATCCCGGTATAATTAATTGATTACCTCATTGGTCTGCCGAACACGGAGGCCGATCAATACCCAGTTTGGGCAATGTTGGTTCTTTGGCCGAGTGGTGGAAAGTATGGCTAAGTAAAAGGTCTTAGGTTCGTTTTATGTTTAGCAGAAAGTGCTTCAAAATTTTTTGTTTTTAAAAATGTTTAATAAGAACATTGAGTTTGGGACTATATATTATGACAATGGGCTTATAACATAACTATTGACACAATCATGGAGTTACTATTATTATTTGTAGGGACCTAGGGACTCGACTGCTCCCGATTAAGAAGTAACTAAGAATTTCACATGAAATATTTTAGCATCTACAAAAAAAAGTAAAAATATTGTCGTTGAAAAAATAGACGAAAAAAATATTTGACAGCTAACCGAATCGTCATCATTTCTTTTATGACGTTTCATAAATGGCAATGACATTGCTGTTTTCAGCCTTATTCGATATAGGCAATCGACCTACAACTGGCAACCTCTTTAATATTTTTACGGAAATCACCCTACATGCGTGTTTTGTCAGGTTCACGAAATAAAACGTTACTACTCTTTATGATTATGTTAGTTTTACGATTATGAAGAAGTTTTTTATGTTATTACGAGTCGAGAATTGTTGTTCTGTATTTCCTAAGGTTCTGTTTGCCTCGTTGGCCGAGTGGTCGCAAGTGCAACTGTCGGGCAAGGAGTCTCGAGTTTGATTCGCCGGTCGGGAAAAGATTTATTGATTTTTTTTTTAATAATTCTCAGTAATAGCACAGAGTGTGGAATTGTGCACGGTATATGGCAATAGGCTCACCCCCTATTACATGGGACTCATAAACTTAATAGTGAAAAGTGGGTTCTACATTGTGGCATTAAGTGCCGTAACATGCACCTTTGCCTACCCCTTCGAGAATAAATGGCGTGATATTATATTACTGTTTGTCTAGTAGTTGTGAGTGCTACTAACTAAAATGTTGCCTATTCAGCAGCTGGATCAAAAAAAGGTTAAAGATATTTTAGTTGGATTATTCTTGAAGATTCATTTCCATGTATGACATTTGGCAATAGGTTACGATTCAAGATTTTGAGCAGCACTTTGATAACTTGTAGTGTGTTTAGCACCTCACCTAATAAGAAGCATAAGTAGGTATAGTATTAGGTCACCTAATTAATAAAACTGACAGTAGACAGTCCTCTGGTTGTCTTCTGCTTATAACTTTGGAAATAACAGGTGTTATGTATTTCAAAAAATAAACGATCCAATTAAACAAATAAAAGGTAAAGTCAAATTCTGAAAGGTTGGATATTATGAAAACTCTGCCGACCTTTCTACATTATAACACTTTATTCAGCAATATTATAAAAAATGTAATACTCTAAACAAAAAGGTGAACCTAGAAAATTCCAATACAAAAATAAAACAAACTATTGAGTGATGCCATCAAAATGTATCAGCAAGAATCGATACGCAAACTCGATTTCGAATAATCGCATTCGTACCAAAATTGAATTTCTTTACCTAAGAACAAGAGCGGGACAGAAAACGAAATTAAAATTCCGGCGCTCCTGATATGTAAAGAATTTTATTGAAAATTCTGTAGGCTCTTTGATTTTACTACATACCTACAATAATAAAAATACTTGAAATATTTCTAACGGCTCACACGCTCCGTAGTAGGTAAGTTCCTAAATTGAATGACTCAATGGATTTCAATGGCTATACCTACGTATTTTTATAAATCGAATTCGAAATTTGAATATAGATATTTTTAGTTTATCTGTGGTACCTAGAGATATGGCGGTAAATTATTAATTTTATTTTGCGATGGGATTGGGAAACTTGTTTCAGATTATTTTGTTACGTATTTTTGCATTTTAAAAAACATCAATATCCATAACGTGGGTGCTTTTTATGTGGTCCTTTTAAAATCCGAAAAAACGAAAATTAGCAGCGTTGGTAAGTAGGGAACGAGATTATGTAGGTAAATGTTACGCGGCGCGGCGTGCAACATAAAAGCAATCACGATAACCGTTCATTAGGCAAATACACCGTAGGTAGTTTGTAACTATACAAAATATCGCATAGTTAACTTTGAGGTCAAATGTTATACGTTCCTAATAATTTACGTTTAATGGGCAGATAAAGATTATTATCATTCTGATTGGTTATAATGAGATGATTTACATTGACGTTGTTCAATCGATGCCTTATTTAAATGCACTAATTGTATACGTATGGATATAAAGGGGAATGTCTCTGAACTAACGTATAGAAGGTTCAACACATCGCAGGCTCTATTGAAAGTCGATACTCTAAATTTTGGCGCAGATTCAGGAAGAACGCAATTCATGTTTACCTCGATATCTTCGATTTTCTGAATGAAACATCTACTTTTAAGCTTGCATGTGTGTCGTAATGGACATCTTTTGTGTCTAGAGAAGGAAATGATCGAAGGTTTTTGGCATAGGAGAGAATTGAACGCTTGCCAAATCTGTGCCAAACTGCAACATAGCATGCTTGGGTGTGTGCGGGCGAGCTCACCGTTGGCATCAGCTGATCAGTACTCCGCACTCGCGTCACCTTGTTCTTGTAGATGAGCTTCTTGAGTGCTCGCTCCACCGGCTGGTTCCACCTCATGAACAACACGTACGCCCCGTACAGCGAGAACAGCACCAGCGCTTCTTGCCAGTATATCTCGCTGTCCCGGAAACAATATATCAACACGAGAAGGCTGACGGAGTAAAAGGAGCAGTCTCGGAACAGGGGCCACCAAGTTAGTGTCAAAGTCGTTCTAGAGAACAGCGCACACGCACCGATCACGAACAAAATGTTAAACACGGCCGAGCCCACGATCGTCCCGATGCCCACGTCGTCGAACGACACGAACACGCCGATGATGGAGGTGAACAGCTCCGGCGCGGAGCCCCCCGCCGCCATGAACGTGGCGCCGGCCACATCATCCCGGATGGCCAGCCGCTCTATGATCACGTCCAGCGCCGGCACGAAGAACTCGTCGCACACGATGGCCAGCGCCACGAACATGTAGCCCATGCCGATGACATGCAGCAGCACGGCTCCCGACCGCCGCTGGTCGTCCGTGAACAGGTCGATGGGGAAGAGCGGGGTCTTCTCTTCTTCTGGTGGCGGCGAGGGGCTGAGTTCGGTGGCATTGGGCTCGCTAGCCGCCGCCAGCAGCGCTAGCAGCAGCGCGCCACCCATGCCGCGCTCCCGGGGGCTCAGCGCACACTGCCGCGTGCAGCCAGCCGCCCCGCGCCCCCGCCCGCGCCCTCCGCGCCCCGCCGTGGGCCCGCTCGATAGCGCCGCACTGCGCCGCGCCGCCTCGCGCTTCGCACACCACACCGCTCCCATTCAATAGGCAATACAAGAAGTTTCGTTGCAAAGAACCTCTAAAAATGTTTAGAGCCTTCCTAGGTTTCATAAAAGATTAAACAGATAACTTTCACCTACTTTATAACTTGTTCAAAGAAGGTTCATCCGGTTTTAATCATGTTGATCATTCATAAATTGTGCTCATAGGCCTATTTAAGAATCAGATCTTCTGCGTGTCCCTGCCGTGTGGTTACGCGTACTCTACGACGCATCCCCGGCTCCCGACGCCCCGGGACTCGCGACAACCGCTCCTACTATACACCTCCAAAGCCCTTATTACTTCAAATTATCTCAACGCAACTACTTCAAATTAGTTTAGTAAATACTTTTAATTGTAACGTTCAACTGTCGAGTGAATGTTGAAGATACATTGTCCTAGTAATTCATAAAAGCATCAATTAGTTGCCTAAGATTGTGATTAAAGTTATTTGATGTCTTCAAGGCGACACATGTTGTACAATTGAGATTGTTACTTTATGTGCATAAAGGATCATGCTTTGCTCCACAACAGTTTACCCATTTTGTATTTGTTTTATACTTCAGTATTTTTGCACCACTGAAAGTCGAGGCAAGTTTGCACAAAACCTCTTAAACACTTTCCGGCCCGTCTCAGCTTCGACGCTGAACGTGATTTCTCGAAATAATTGCTAACCGTTTTTGCGTTCATTCCTACCTCGATGCTGAGATAAAATTCCAAGAGGTAATTGTGAAAAGAAATTCAGTCCTAGTAAAAAGAAAGCCGAGATTTTCTTGATAGAAAATACACGTTGCTGTGTTGAACTGCAGCCGAGAAAACTTGTTTACAGTCACGTTCAATGTGAATAGGTGCCGCAAATAGTAATAAATGTAAATTATGAGTGGTACTTAATAGAAGCATTATTTTATTACACAAATTAAATACCGTTCTTAGAAAACGAAGTGGAGAACTAAGTCTTGGAATTTGGAGAAGTATAAAAATGTAGCTGCATGAAAAGACTGATGGCTGTTGATGAAGCAAAGTAAGAATCGTAGCAATTAGCATTCCATAGTCTCTGCAGACAGTCTGGCAGACAGACGCTAGGTAATGTATGTATGTATGCACTAAAAATGTAGATGTAAATATTTAACTTATTAGGACTTTTTTAAACGGGGGTAAATCATCGAATGACTTCTCCCGCCTGGGTGAGGCGGGAGGGAGTGTTAGACTCTTACTGACTAAAAACCACCCCGTTCCTACTCCTGATCTTCGAGCCGGAGCCCCGGTAACCCGTTAGGTTCTCCGCGGCTCCGAATCGACATCAGCCCTATTGGGTCCCATCCGTGGTGGTCTTATGGCTCTTTGAGGCGCGCGTGGAACTCTTGGGCCTGGTTCTGGTCGGGCGGCGAGTGTGTGTGTGTGGTGTGCTTACAGTGGCCGGAGTTCGTCCTACGATCCCCGACGCCCAGAGCGTCCTTCGCGATGGCTGGGCTGTGAGGAGGCAGCGCTTCGCTGCCTCACGCGTCCCGCCTCCTCCTTAGCTAGTATGAATGCTTCGGAAAAGGAGGAGACGGCATTCCAGGCCTCTTCCCTCCGCATCATGGTCCGGACTAGGGCCGGACGCCAGAGATCGCCGTCGCCGATCACATGCATGGCGGTGCTCAGCTCACGCAGGGCATGCCCTACAGTGTGTTCCACCGTGTCCTCAGGGCGGTCCTCGCAGTAATGACACCTGGAACTTACTGGGATAGGAACTGTAAATAATTGAATTATATTGGAACCACCATAACAATCAATAATTTCGCTCTATTTAAAAAATGCAAAACGACAAATTAAACCTGAAACTTATTTTTACAGAATTCCCGGATGACTCAGAAAGTTCGTGAAAAGCTTGGAGATAAATCTTTCATTTTCCTTTTGAAAGGGGCAGCGTATAACGAATTGCAGCCACTGTCCCCCATTAGTGTCGTGGCTTCCGCAAGTGACATAAATTGCGGTTGGTTACCCACTTGCACAATTTGTGTCGTAGACTAGAGACACTTCGTAGCTAGGTGCGTAGCTCGTAGCGCTCGTAGCAGCGGTTACGATCGAACTACGGGTTTCGTAGTACTCGCGTAATGGATTTCAAAATGTAATTGGTGAATACGGTTATTTATTGTCATTAGTTAGGTTTTTCGGTGGGTGTTGTGAGATTGAATTGATTCATGTTATGATGGAGCTTATCTTACTAATCTTACTGAAGCGCGAAACGCGACGCGCTACCCGCTCGGGTCTGGTTCTGGTCGGGTGGCGAGCTATCCTTACTCGCCGTCCGCAGGCCCGTGAGGGGTAGATCTGGAATAATACATAATTATGCTACTTTCATCCTATGGAAACTCAAACGAAGCCACAAAAGCAGCAGAAGCTAGAATATCATACGACCTCAATTAGGTACATTGTATTCAAATCAAATTTGTTTTTTTTTTTTGAATTAATTCCGTGCATATTTATATATTTGAATTAGCTTAGCATATCTTACAATAGTAACACGATCTCAATTACATTTCATTAGGTACCTCTATATGGCAATAGGCTCACCCCTTATTACATGGGACTCATAACATAGATAGTCAAAAGTGGGTTGTTATTTTGTACAGTGGCATTAAGTGCCATAATGTTGTAGCTCTGCCAACCCCTTCGGGGATAAAGGACGTAATGTTATGTTAGGTATAAAAATATGAAGACTATTTTACTAAAATACATTAGCTGAAAGCATTTAACCCATTCGATGTAAATTTATTATAGATTCTTTAGAATTGACTTGCGATATCGTAACCCTGCAATCGAAAGCGCATAGATCCAATCACGATAACCATTGCAGTCGGGTAAATAGCTTAATAAATAATCTTTTAATGCATTATTTATTATAACAAGCATTTTATTAATTACTGTGGTTGTAAGTTACGATTTTATTGGTTCATTTTGACCTTAATTACTTAGGTACTAAAATTAATGACGTAAGAGATTTTCTTTCACTTAATTAGAAAATCTCGCGAATTACGGTAGTTGACAACTAGTCAAATTCAATACTTTTATCGAAACGTCAAAAACGATATTGTTCTATGAATTTTGTACGAAATACCAGCTTATGACGTCATCATATTTTCGCGTCAAATAGCACACTTAAATGTAAACAAAAAAGCTAGATTAGATCGAAAATTTTATATATCGGCAAATCAATGAATGAAAGTGTAACTTTTTTTTTAATAATTGGACTGAAAAATGAAAATAACTTATCTTTCACCCAGGAAACTACCAATTACCTGTCAGCTCGATCTTTGAAAAGTGAGTTCGATCGCATTCTCGCCTGTCATTGGTCGAGATTATTCTTGACAACCAATGGCGGACCGCATGAGTTCACTTCGTTCTTTTGAAATTAAAGAAGTTCTCCACTGATCCAGTTCTGTGAAGTGAGTACACATCTTTGTTTTTTTTTAAGTATTTTAAGAATGAATGCTCCCGCTTGGGTGAGGCGGGAGGGAGGCTAAAAACCACCCTGTTCCTTCTCCTGCACGTCGAGCCGGAGCCCCGGTAACCCGTTAGGTTTTCCGCGACTCCGAATCGGCATCGGCCCTGTTGGGCCCCATTTGTGGTGGTCTGATGGCTTATGGAGGCGCGCGCGGAACGCGACGCGCCGTATGCTCGGATGCTCGGGACATCTTTGTTTAGACACACTTCATTTTCAGGTTTTCATGCAGATCTTAATCTAGACTAGAACATAATAACAATTAATGGGTCACACAAGTAATTATCCCATACGAGAATCGAGTGCGTGCTGAGCTAGCCACGGCCAGCCATTGTTTTTATTTTTTGAAAATACTTTTCCAACTTAATACCTAATACTTTACTTACTTCAAATCTAATTTAAATGGCTCAATCCAACTCCACAGCTAAACGTATAGTGACCACTCAACTAATGAGGTAGATCCGGAACTAAAATATTTTACTAATAACTAATTGAATTATCAATTATTAAGTAATACGATTTACCTACTTTAAATGTGAGCATGAACGTATTGAAAATACACTTGCAGGGGCAGGATGATGAGCTCGAACACGCCTCTTCAGCTCATCCCATAGATGCTCTATAGGATTCATATCAGGACTTCGCACTGGCCATCTCATAACAGTGATACCAATGTCATTTAAGTACTGCCTGACGATTCCCGCAGTATGGGCCCTTGCATTATCATGCATTAAAACAAAATCTTGGCCAATAAATCCAGCATATGGCATCACGTGGTTCTCTAAACATTGGCGAATGTATCTATTGCCATCTAGGGGCGGCAGTCGTGGTCCCGTTACTACCTCTAGCTCAGTTTTGCCTTCCATAGAGATTCCTCCCCAGCACAGTCCATGATCCTCCACCATAACTCACTCTTTCGTCAATACAACATTGCGCGAAACGCTCGTTCTCTCTTCGGTACACCTTACTCCTTCCGTCATTACCGTATAGCATTATCTTGGACTCATCTGTGAAGAGAACCTGGCTCCATTGATGTCGAGTCCAATTTAGATGTTCGCGCGCAAACTCTAAACGGGCTATTCGGTGTGCTCGTGTCAATTTGGGTCCATTGGCTGGCTTATGGGGCTTTAAACCACGTTCATT